AAGGTACCTTGGGAAAGAGAAGCCAGATGCAGAAGTGAGCTGAAAGGATTAGAGCAGAGAGAAGATAAAGGAAGAGAATGGAGGATTCTGGAAAGCAGCATAAATTTGGACAGAGTTGAGAATGGTCAAAATTTCTGATGATGACAGAAAGACCCCAAAGTAGTATTTTTTGAGGAAACAAAATACTAGCTCTCTGCACACTTTATGCCATTTTGGAGGAAGGGTCAATTACAAGCTCTGAGAAATTCCTGACTGTTATGTGAGTTTTCACACAATTGCAGGGGTTTATATTTCTCTCCCTTTTATTCTCTCCCATGTTGCAATAGAAGATAAACGAGAGAGCACACACACAAAAAAAACTCCCAACAAACAAAAAAGCAAACAACCAAATCCAACAAAACCAAAAGCAAACACCCAGGCTCAAACTCAGCCATGTGTTGTTTGTTAATATATTCAGACTATTTCAAGGTGTCTCTCCCTTGAAAACAAGTCAATTTTAAAACCTCAGTTTCTCCATCTCTCCAAAAAATTCCATCTCTCCAAAAACTTGAATACAGTTTTCCATGTTCACAATGCACATGTGCCTCCCATGTGCTGCTGGATGGTGATACCATTGTGAGCTTTTGCCCCACTGGGAGGTCTGTGACCCCCAAAGGAGTCTCTGACTTACCTGTGAATGTGATCCCAATCAGATGGGGCTTCACTGTCACTCAGAAGCTTGCTGACTAGCAATAAATATTCATAGAACTGATTAGATGTTAATTGCACAAATCACCACCTCTTCAGCCAACTCCAGGAACCTCGCTGCCACCCACCACGGTTAAAGAGGCAGCAGAAAATGTCTCTTCTGTAGGCCCCTTAAGGTTAATCTGGTGGCTCAGATGGAGGTTAAATGTGTCACCTTGCCATGTCCCTTAACACAGCCACAGCAGGGCTTCCCAGGTTCTGCCCCATGTGAAGGGCTGTGCTCCTGCTAGTGCAGCCCCCAGGGGCAGGAGCCCAGAGACATCTCTGCAGCTGTCCTGGCCCCCTCTCCCCACAACACACTGCTTGCTGTCCAAGCCCACAGGGATTGCCCTTCCCTGCTCCTCTGTTATCCCTGTTCTTCCCATCCAGACAGTTTTGCCAGGTCCCTTCAGCAAGGTACAGGAGCAAAGCATGCTGTGCTGGCAGGACATATGGGCCTGTCCCTGCACAGCCTGTGACTCTGAGGGCCCATATGTGCTGGCCACCTTGCACCATCCCCACTGTCTCCCTGAGGTGTTGGGCTGGCACCTCTAGTGACACAACTGTCCCCATGGACAGCTGTCAGACACGAGGTGTCCCCCCGTGGGGTGGCACAGCATCTGTGGCAGAGGGTGCAGGCTGCTCAGAGGGTGTTTGTACCTTGCATCCTCCTGAGGTTTGTGCTGCCCTGCTCTGGAGCTGAGGTGGAAGCCCTGTTCTTGTCAGTGCCAGCCCTTCCTCAGTGATGACCCACAGAGCCCCAGGCTCCTGCACCCTCCTTTGTGCATTCCTTGCACCCCTCTGCCCCGCCATGCACAGCCTCCTTGAACTTGGCCCACCAGCCTCCAGCAGCAAGCTGCTGTCTGTACACAGGCTCACACACATGGGAAGGTGATAACCTGGGACAGGCAACATTCATCTTCATTGCAGAGAGGCAGCAGGATTGGAAATGGCATGGCAAGATGAGACTGCTGCATGCCCCTGTCACAGGCACTTAGAGCAGAGACACTGCAGATGTGACAGCAGTGACACTCCAAGAAATCCTGGCCAGGTCTCAACCCCTGTCTGCCTGGGCTTCCCCCAGCCCCCCAAATGGGCCCTGTGCCAGGCTGGAGGCAGAACTGATCCACAGCGAGGTGCAGCAGAGAGGCCACGGTGCCTTTAAGAGCCATCCTGCTCTCTACCTTTGTGCTCTGGCCTTTCTGTCTGAAATGCACACTCAAAACAAAAAAATTAAGAAGGAAGAAGTACCTCAGTACCCTGCCTCAGTGGGTCCCCCACCCTCAGGTATTGAGTTGCTTTCTAACCACCAAACATAAGTGGTGGGAGACAGGAGGAGCTGCTCCTGTTGGGCTCACAAATCTGACTGCACCATTCCAACCAGCTCCAATACAGGGGGGCTGTGCTTCTCTCCATACAAAAGACTGGCTCCCATCCCTCTGAGGCCATTGCAATAGCCTTTCCAATCCTATGGATTTATGGTATGAGCTGACAGAACTGCTGTCCCCTCTTGGTGTCAATCCCTGCTCTGCTGTGCAGGGGTGAGGTATGAGTGCTCACACAGAGGGAGGCACAAGGCTGGCAGTCCTGGTGCACATAACCCTGTTTAGCTACTGAAAACAGCTCCTTGATTTTCCTGTTGTGCTGAAGGCTGTGTGATGCACAGCTGAGCAGTTTCAGGCCTGACAGGAATAGTTTCTCTCACCTTGCCACTGGACACCATCCTGACCAACTTGGATGCAGTCTTGCCTCCATTTGCTCCTGAGCCCCCATCACCAAGAGCACTCAGCCCCTGGCAAAGGACAGGTCCAGCTGATGTCCTTGATGTCCTTTGATCACTCTCACTCCATAATACAGTCCCATGTGCCTCCAATTGTACCCTGTCCTACCCCTCCACCTCACAGAGGTTTTCTCTGCCTAAGCTCTACTGCAGGAGGCTGCTGGCTCTCCTCACAGCTGCTCCATCTCCGTCAGTGCAAACAATTTCTAGAATGGTTTTTAAAAATGTATTAACCTTCCAAAAAGGAGCTGATAAACAGGGGATAGGAGGACCGGAAAGGAGTGGGAAAGAGGCAAGATGCAGCAATGTGGTCTATTCCACACATCTGCACTATTCTCCTCCCAGCCCTTTTATGAAAATAGATGGACATTTATTATGAAAAAGAATGGCTGGGTGTGTGCAGGAATCCTTAGGCAGGCAGGGAATAAGTGTCAGTCTTCTGCATGTATGTCTGTGTGAGCCACACATGCTGGCTATGGGGAAGAGAAATACCTCCACCATGCAGATAGCAATCTGTCAGACTGAGCACCTGAGGGGCTCTGGGTGTGTGTGACTGTGTGTCTGTGCCTGTGTGAGCTGCTGCAGTTGCCCTCAGCACACAGAATGTGTGAGGGTGGTCAGCAGCACATGCCCTGGTGATGCCATTTGAGTTGCACAAGTCATTCCTCCCATAAATGTCTAAGGGCTCCAAGACAGTCTGTCAAAGCACACAGACATGAGTGGGGGCTCAGTTTTAGAGACCTGTCCCTGGACACCCAGGCCAACACCAGACACATGGGTACTCAGCAGGGATGAGGTCAGGCCACACTCAGAGAGAGCACATGTTGCATTTCTGGTGGGCAACACCACATGCCATTGTGTTCATGGCACTGAGGAGACCAGGGCATCACATAGCAAGTTTAGAAATGCATTTTCTCCACTGGAGTCAAGGAAAGGCAATGGAAACCCAAATGCCTGTCTCTCTGCCTCAGTTTCTAGGAGAAACAAAACATGGTCCAACCCTTCCTGACTCTTGTGGTTAGCTTGACAGATGGAAGTTACACAATTGCCTGTCTCTGTGCATTGTTTTGCGTCTCTCAAGTTGTACTTCCCACCCTGTAACCCCTGGGAGTAATTTTTCTCTGCAGTGTGGGTATCTAGGGGAAGCAGGGAAGAGAAAGGACACATGCAGCCTGAAGAGAATTAGAAGGGCTGGGGATGAGGAGGGATGGGGAAGAGCTTGGATAGACCCTGCTGCCATAGGAATGATCCAAGTAAACTGTAGGGAGGGCTTAGCCTGGATTCCCACACCAAACACCAGATAATTATGGGTAGAATAAAGAATCCAGACTTCATTTTGATGGCTTTTGTCACACAGAGCATAAGCCTGAAAAGCACTAGAACAGGCATTTCTCACTCCAATCCTGGGCTCTGGGGCATCTCTCACCAACCAAATGCATATTTGTATTTCTCTCACATATATGGGAGATGTTGCCAAGCTAAGGGGCCATATTCTGCCTTCCCTTCCACCTCTGGACATGAGCCTGCCTCTGCACTGAACCCAAAGCAGGAGTGACTGTGTGTGTGCAAGCATGTGTGCTCCAGAGCAGTGGGCAGCAAACTCACTCTGCATCACATCAGCATCAAAGAGATTCAGTGCAGGAGACATTTGCAGGCATGAGCAGAAGAAAACCTTCACGCTCCTTCTCCAGGGTGAGCGCGTGCTTCAGCTCTGAGATACGCTCCCTGCCTCTTGAAATTAATTCAGCATTCCTGAGGCTTGGGCAAAAAGAGCTGGAATGAATAATGGGGCTGTGCTGGCCTTGCTGCAGATTGCCTGGTAGATACAGCCCTCTGCAGGAAGGAAAAAGCCAAGAGACTGCAGCAGTGCTCAGGCTGCTCTGCTGGAACGTGATACTCTTATCTCACATCCTCTGACTTTATAATGAAAATGACCACGTTACCCTGAGTTTTGGGCTTGTTTTAACCCCTTTTTATTTCTCTCTTTACACAAGAGACAAAACCCCCAGGCTCCAGATGATACCATTGTATGAAGATGGGAATGAATGCCTCTGTGTGTGTGTGCTGGTGGGGAGGTAGGTGTATGTACCTCCATTTTTTCATGCCATCTGACTGCAAAACTTTCAGATACAAAACCCAGGCCTCTGAGCTGCTCAAGGAACCAACCTTTGTCAGGGAGCCATCAGCCAGGAGGAGAGCTAGAGTTTGGGTTTCTTCCCTAAGGAAATCTGTGGTGGTCCCTGAGTCTCAAAAAAGAAAAACAAAACACCCAGAGCTGCTTTCCTGGTCCCACAGCATCTCTCTGCTCAGTTAGCCCTTATGTTGGATAGGGATTCAATTATCTCTAACTTTTTAACATTTATGGCACAGTTACCGAGCGGGGACTTCCCAGGATTACAGCCCTCACTACAGGATGTAGGAAGGGAGAGAGGGATTTCTTCTGAACTGAGGGCTTCTGATCAGTCAGAAACTGTTTCTGCTCTTCAACTGACTGGGAGATGCTCAGCTCCAAGAGAATCTACATGGTCCCTCACAGAAAAATACCCTGGCCTGGTGTGACAACAGGAGGGGCTGGAGACACTGTGCAGACATTCCTTTTTCCTCTCAAGTCCTGTCCCACATGTCTGGGCCTACATGGGAGAACCCAAAGGCCAATTGCTGTTGAGCCTTTATGTTTGGGCATGGGCAACTCCCTGCCCACAGTTCTGAGTCCTCAGTGGATCGCACCCTGCGCCTCTGCCTTCAGTTTGGAAGGGGAAGAGGCAGAGGGCAAGCTGTTCTGTCAGTCATCTGCCTGCCAGGTGGGAGGCAGATGGAACCAAAGCTCCCAAATTTCCTCACTGGAAGAGCCCAGTGTGAGAAGGAAGCTGTCCAATAACCTCCACCTTTCTGATGCCGTGGCCAGGTCATGGTTCAGTTTTTGCTGGCAATCTTTTTCTTACGGGCAGAGACCAGATCATAGAAAGGATCCTGTGTGATGTTGGTCCTGGAAATTAGAAGAAATGGGAGCAAAAGTAAGAGATTTAATGATGGAGAGCAGCACAGACAAACTAACTGAACTTGCACAGAGACATCACTTATCAAAATGTAGGACTGGAGATCTGCAGACTTACAGCAGAGAATTTAGCTGTGGCTAGAGATTCTCCAGAAGGGACTTCAAAACTCTTTAAAGTCAAGGAATACCATAGTTGTTATACTGCAAACATTTCTTTCCACCCCCCTTTTCAAGCTCTCATAAAAGATAACCAAATAAACTTTGTGGCCACTTGATCCCAGGGCTGAAAAAAGGCAACTCAAGCCTCAATCTCTCCTCACCGTATCGCCTCAATCCACTCATCACGCTCTGCTGGAGTGGCTGCTGAGATCTTGTAGGACTGATGCTTGCCTTCAACCACCTTCCTATCCCCATCTGTTTTGCAGGCTTTGATCTTCTGCCCTTTGCAGTTGGGAATGAAGAGTTCAAAGCAGTTCTGTTCAAAAGGAAACAAAGTGGAGCAGTAGGATTAGACAGGGGACAAAGAAGGCTGCTGCCTTCAACCATGGGTGACAGGCCAAGAGAGCTTTCAACAGGCAGGAGTCTCCAAAATGCAACAGACCCTATCTTCCCTCACTCCAAAAATTTCCCCATGAGTTAGATGACCTTCCTTCTTAGGTAGGCACACCCCTCCTCTGAGCAACTGGACACTAAAACCAGGCTTTATGGAGAGATGGAGCATCAACACTTATCAAAACACACCTTCTAGGATCTGTCACTCCACTCCACTAATGAAAATCCCTCCCCCTCTTAAGTAGATGCAGCATCCTCTTTTCTGCCTGCCACCACGCAGATAGAAGGCACTTTTCCCAGAGCCATGACACATTGAAAAGTGGGTATCCACAAAAGACACACAGAAGAAATGAGTCACTTCCTGGGCAAGTTCCCTAACACCAACAGTTCTGTTTGGTCTACATGTGCTGTAACTCATTATGGAGAATCCCAAGGAGAGAAATTAAACCCACGTCTCCTGGTGCAAAATAAGTAGGGAGTCAGCTGTGTGCATTCATCTCTGCCCCCCTACACACACATACACACATGAAAACATACAATACAGTCAGCCAAAGGACAGCTCTCTACTCACACCAAAAACATAAATTAAAAACACAGCCGTGTCTCGATGGGGCAAACAAGGCAGTTTGCAACGGCACCTTCCCTCTGAGAAGCAAGTAGAACACGAGCAATTTGTGTAGGGTAGGAGTAATCTGTGTGCATCTTCTCTTCCCCCCAACCATCTGATAGCCTGTGTTGGCAGAGTGCCAGCCAATGGACACTTACTGGCTTTTTGGGATCATCCACCTTCCGGACTGATAGATTCTCCAAGGGAATGATGCCCCGAGGCTCTTTGTCCTGAAGGCAAGGAAACGTGAATTAACACCCAACATACTCCCCAAATTTATGCCACTGTTCAGAACCTCTCTGATTTCCCCTGTGTGGTCCTTTGTGGAGGTGACAAGGGCAGAATACTGCCACAGGAGACCCCTTCCATTGACACAACGGGGAGTTTAGTCAAGAGGAGACCACAGCCGCAGTGTCCAGCCTCTCTCCTCCTCCCCATGGGAGGTGAGGAAACAGCACAGGAAAGAGTGGAGGTGTGAGATCAGTCTGGGAGCACAGGGTAAAAGGGGGAGACTTGCCTCTGCTCCTCCCTGGCCCCTCAGAGGCTCATAACCACCCAGCCATGAGTTAAGCCCTTACCGTGGTATATTCAAAGTAATACAGGCAGTTATCAGTCAGAATGAACCAGCGGCGTTTCCAGGTTTTCACACGCCCTCCTAAAGGCAGTGAGGTTCAGGAGCCATTAGTCACACATTTTTCTGTCCTTCCCCCAAGCTCCTGACATGCACACAGTCACACCCTCCCAGCTCTCCCCGTAGCTGAGCCCCAAGGAGACAGCATGGCACCACTGACGTGATGCTGTGTGATAGACACTCACACACAGAGCCACTTTTGCTCTGCTGGGTCTGGGAATGGGGAGGGCTATGTTTTTGAGTCCCTTTTTGAGCAGACAGAGCCTGCAGGAGCTGGGACGAGGGAGCAGGCAGCTGGTTTCAACAGCAGGTGTCAGCCTCAGCCTGCCGCAGCAGACGGGAGCGAAGGACAGCAGAGATGACGGTAGGTTCCTGGGGCAGATTTGTGGTGGGAGGCAGGCAAACGGGGAGCCAGAGGAGCTAGGGGAGCCCCTCCCTTACCTAGTTTCACCAGCCAGCCTTCACGGTTAGGGTTGAAGAAAGTGTGGGTGAGGTCGTTGCCATCATCCTCTGGTATGGAGAACGGCTCGTTCTTTATGCTCTCAAACAGATTCTGCCCCAGAGCATTGGTGGGGAAGGACAGAGATAGAAAGGCTGATTTCAGATAAAGCTTGTACACAACTATCCTAGGTCCATCTATCCACCACTCTGTTTTTACAAGGCAAGCTGGGTGAAGGGCAGGAGAGCACATGATGAGCACTGGGGGTAAAACAGTCCCTAGTCTGCACCTCACAGGATCTCCAGGGGGATCACCAGCTCTTTTCTGCATCTTGTGCCATAAAAAGAGTCTCATTCTGGAAAACCACAGCCATGAAATGGTGCTCCCATAGCAAGACAGGCTGCAGTGAGCAAACCCAGCATGTCACAAGTGCTGCTGTGGGTAGTATTAAGGCACTAGGATGGGACTCAGCACAGCAGAGGTGCAGCCCCATTTAGAACCTGGGCTGGTGGTGTCAAATGCTGCCGGAAGAGCAGCACGTAGACCTACATGGCCACAAGGAGGCACATTTCACAGAGCCAAAGCTTTGGCACTGCAGGGCACAAAGGGTGACATTCATACAGCAGTGACAGGGAGGCAGGTTACTGCTCTCAAAGGATGCTGAAATGTTGTTCACATCATTGTATCTGCCACCATTTACTACACAAATCCCAAGTCAAGGGGGAAAAAAGAGACTACAGGCTCCTGCATCTTCCCTAAATTGCCTGAAAGAAATAACACTCTGGAGAAAGATCTAAAGCCTCTACCCTGAGGGGATGCTGCTCAGCAAAGCCCAGGTGTGGGATGTAGGCAGCCCCTTTGACACAAGACAGAAGTTTTTTGGGCCAGGCTCCTTGGGTGAAGGCAGACACACCTAAGCAGGCTGCCCACCTCTACCTTGCCTCACAGGGCAGGTCCCATGCCTGCTGAGCCTTCAGGAAAATGCCAGCTGTAGCTTTGCTAATGGGTGCATTTCCTGTCTCTGCACCTTTGCTTCTCAGTGGACCCAGGGGATGAGAGAATGGGAATTCCTCTTACCTTTAGAAGCTCTTCTGGCAGGTCCCCTCCATTGTCAATGCCTCTGTTGATGGACACAAACCTTTCAAAGTGGGGTTTGTCTTTCACATTGGGGTTGTGCAGGCTGGTGTTAAGCATGATGATAGAGAAGGAGAGTACATAACAGGTATCTAGCAATGAGAAAGAAAATCAGCATGGGTGGCACTTGTCTTAGAGGGCAGAACAATCCACACCACAGGTGGCTCGGATTTTAGTCACTGAAGAAGGGAGTCATCCTCTCATTTGTAGGAGAAAAAGGGTTCCCTCTGCTAGGAGAAAGAGGGACACAGTTGATTTCCTATGAGGGAGGTGATTCCATGCCCTTAGGATAATGGGGCATGTTGGGCAGATGCAGTCTAATAACAGCTCTGCCAGCAGGAAAGTTTCTGCAGACCTACATCTGTCCGTGCTATCCCTGCTGGGATGAGGTAACACCTCATGTGAGGCCGGGAGCCCTTCTCCAGTCTAGTGCCCATCAGGAGGGCCTGAAGCACAGGCACAAAAGGAGGCCTGAAGATGCTCAGTTTATTGAAAATCTTCACAAGAACTGGGCTGCCTCCTTTAGCTTAAGGGGAAACACTTCCTAGTGATGCTGCCTGTGCTTTGTGAATGGAAAAGGAAGGCTCCTCTCTCTGGCAAACAGTCTAGCTCAGCTGTACAGGCCTTCCTCCCTTAACTACCTGTGGACTGGAACACTCCTGGATTGCACTTGCAGTACCAGTTGGCAAAGGCCTCCATCATCCTGTCAATCTTCTGCGCCTCCCCAGGCAGCCGGAAGCTCCAGAGGAACTGTCTGTTGGGAGCAGAGTGTCACAGCACCAGTCAGATGGGGTCCAAGGGATAGGGGTGCCTCCCCTCAACCCGTGCCACACCACGAGCATAAGAGAAGTGACCCCATCACACTGGGGAGACAACACAGGGCATGGGGCAGGAGCTCTGCTCCTCTCTGGAAATTGCCTGGATACATCACCCTCCAACACCCTGAATGCAGGAAGGAGAACTAAGGCTCCCAGAAATCACAGCTCTGCTCCCCTAATGAGAGCCCTGCAAGGCAGCAGAGGCCTCAGGAGAAAGAGTCTTGCCAGGAGGTAGCCTTAATAAAACAAGTGCCCTAAAGCAGAGTCACTTTGTTATTGATGTAATGGGCACTGAGGACAGACGTTTCTTTTCCTGCTGCCAAAAATAACCTTTTTCATCCCCCAGACACTGAAACCACAGTGAACCACTCTTCTGCACATGGGCAACCAAATCAAGGGGCAATCAAAGTGCTTCCCACCCCCCTGAGAAACTGTTGATGCCTCACAGAGTAACAGCCCTGGAGCCAACACACACAGCAGGGCCTTGGGAAGCTCCCACTTCAGCCCAAGAGGGCTTACTGACCTTCCTGTGTCGTGAGGGCCAGTGGCTGAGCAGGTTCCAGCACTGTCCCCTGCACGCTCACTCACCTCAGCGCCTGCACCAGGTTGAGGTTGGCAAATTGGTGACATGCCACAAAGGCCTGCAGGATCTGAATGTTTGTGGGGTCCCTGGGAGAGGAGAGAGGGAAAAGGTCAGAAGAGAGCTTTGAGCCTGCTCTGCCTGGATGTCCCTTGGTGCGACAACATGCACCTGGCTCCATCCCAGTCTCACTTCCCCTCTGACCAAGAAGCAGCCAAGGTGCACACTCCATTCTGGGATGACTGATCCCATTACAGGCAGGAGAAAAGGTAGCCCATACAGCCAGCCTTAGTCACATTCCAAAGGCCCTCCCAGGGGTGTCCTGCCCACCCAGCCCACTGTGGTTGGAGATATGCTCAGTCTTGGCCCCTGGATGAGGTCTGCCACAGGTCATCCAAAATGGTAGCTCAGAGGGGCCGGGCAGGACAGGGACTCCAAGGGGTCTCCTCATCCTGGGTTGCTCACCTCCCACCCAGGTAATCCCCAATGGCTGTCTTGTTCAGGCCTTCACCCTTGTGGAGGAATCTGGCAATCTCCTGAAGGTCTGAAGACAATACCTGGTGCTCTATCAGGTACTGGATCCCCTAGGAAGGAGAAGCAAGACTGGGAAGTAAAGCAGCTCTATGATCTATTGAGAAAACAGGATCCCAACACTGATATCAGCCTTCCTTAGCTTTAGTGTACTTGCTCCTCTCTTACTCCCCACTCCCTTCATGGGAGACTAGAGCCACATTCTCATCTTCATTCAATCCCTCTTCATCCACTATGGGTTGTCAGTCCCATTTTCACTTCATCCCTAGATTTGGCTAAATGTTTCACTGGTATGGAAACTCAAACAAAATAGGGCAATGTAGATTTAAAGTCCAAAAAGGAAAAGTCAAAATAATAAATTTTAATGTTTTCAATCAAAATGTCTTCCTGTTCTGTTCCTAAATGTCTTTTTCCCCCTAAATTAACTTAGCTTAAAAGAAAAACTGTTTATTTTAAAGAAGGCATAATAAAAAAAATGTACTCAGACAAAAATATGGGCTTGAAACAACTTGAGACAATTTTTTCCTAGATTTTTCTTCTATGCCACAGAACAGAGAAGTCTGCAATCTTTTCAGCTCCATCCCTCCTAGACAATAAGGATGGAATATGCTTTTTAAGGAATATAGAGGTTGTGAGTTGGGTTGTACAAAGAGTCAATATCCTATTTTAGAGAGAATTTCACGACTTTTAAAGCCAGAGAAAAAGCTGAGGTTTTTTTCAAAAGATTCTTGACAATATCTCACAATGTTGCAGTTCTCCAGACCACACTGCAATTCTCCTTGCAATATACAATAAAAGAATGAAAATTGTTTTAGATCCATCAACATATTCTACTTCAAGAGAATCATTTCACTTTCTTTTGCAATATATATGAAACTATTTTTAAAAGGCTCCAAAGAAAAAGTGCCACAAAGTGTCAGATTTTCGGCTGTTTAGATGGTCTGGGAAGGCCCGAGGTGGCCTTGGGCAGCCCGCGCTCCAAAGGATGAGAAGGGACTTCAGATCTTTTCTCGGTCTCGGTGTTTATTAAATGCTTATCTAAAAGATTTTCTCTTGGCCTGACAGAGTTCTGCTCAGCAGTCAGTCATGGGCACACACTGCGAGCCCCTGGGGCGGCCACCTATCTTTATACTCGGAGTTACGTATACAATATTTATCATTTTTCTCCAATACCCTCTACCCTTATTAACCAGTACACTTTTAGTAAGGTCCAATCCCAAAGTGCCAACATCACCACAGAAGATGGAGGCCAAGAAGAAGAAGAAGAAGGAGAAGGGCACGCCCCAATTCCTCCATCTTACTTCTCTAGACCCCCCTGTACAGAAATCTTAAACCCTGTATCTCACACTCCAATTAACTTATCCCTTCACCATTCACCCCAGTGAAATCCTCCTATCCTCATACTGATGTCGTCTCTCGTGTGGGATCAAAGTCTAGCCACCAGACATTTCTGGCAGCATTCCAGGACTCCTGAGCCCCCCAGGGGTGGTCTTGGTCACCCTGCACCCCAGTCCTGAGAGGCTGAGATCCCACATCAAAGAAATCAAATTTTTTGTGAGATTTTTTCCACTCTATTTTCCTTTCTTTTTCCCCAGACAGATTTTCAGTAAGAGCAATTTAATTTTGAGAAGCATTGCAGTGATGTGTCACAGTTGTCACAAGGGTCTTCAGGGTGAGAGAGAGGCGAGAATGTTGACCTCATGTTCAGAAGGCTTGATTTATTATTTTATGATATATATTACATTATGACTATACTAAAAAGAATAGAAAGAAAAGTTCTCAGAAAGCTAGCTAAGCTAAGAATAGAAAAGAATGAATAACAAAGGAGCTCCCTGTCCCAGAGAGAGCTCGGTCCTTGATTGGCCATTAACTATACACATCCAACATGGGCCAATCACAGGTGCACCTGTTGCATTCCACAGCAGCAGATAACCATTGTTTATATTCTTTTTCTGGGGCCTCAGCTTCCCAGAAGGGAAAATCCTAAAGAAAGGATTTTTATGAAAAAATGTCGGTGACATTTCACCCTTTTAATTTTATTAAATTAAAAAGAAAAATGTTTGTAATTTTCTCTGCTGTGCATATGCAGAGGAAAAAACAAACACTTGACAGGTTATCTGTTGCCAATCCAAATCTCAATCAAGTGCTGGTGTGGAATGAACAAGGAATTTCTTCACCTGTAGAATATACAATTCTATCAAATCATCAAAACAATCTTACAATATAAGAAAATGCAAAAACAATGTAAAGAAAGTTCAAGTTCAAGCAGCTGAGTTTCAGAAAAAGTCCATGGACTGAAGATGTTCCTCTTTGCCATCTCTGATACTCCTTTTTGGTACTGAAACAGGCTTGCTGCAGAAAAGTCCATCAATAGTTATCAAAAGTCCATTGACAGTCACAAACAATTTCAAACAATTTGAGACAACTTCTGGAATTTTTTGCCACAGCCCTTTATTGAACAACTTTGGGCTGAAGCTAATTTTTGGTCCTTCAATGCTTCAGAGCTGCTGCCAGCTATTTCAACTCTTTTTATTTAATTTTTTTTTTGTTTTTTTAATCGGAAAAAGCAGCAGCAGCAGAGCAGAGCCAGAGAAAGGCCCTGGGGGGCCCTGGCCCATGTACAGATCAGGAACCCCAGATCTGGCCCACAAAAAGGCAGGCCAGGACCGGAAGGGGGAAGCAAAACCCCCAAACCCATCAGGAGGCCGGGAGGTGGCCCTGGTCCAGGGACCCGAGCCCAACAGCCTAGGCCCAACCCACGAGGCAGGCTCTGCCTTGCCACAGGCCTGCACTCTGCTGCCAGTACAATAGCAGAACGGGTGGTGAGACGCTTCTTTTCCCCAAAATCACCAAGGCATGCCAGCAGCAGGGGAATAGAAGCCCCAAGAACCCTCATCTCGGGTCTAGGAATGTTTGTTCCCCACAGCAAGCAAGCCACGATCGCTTCCCGCTGTGCCCCCTGCCTCTGCAATGCAAATGCATCAGCTGCGTCTCCCATCTGCCTCACGGCACCACCCCCTCTGGGCTGGGGACCAAAGGCAGAACCCTCGGGACCCACCTGCCCCTCGCCGCTGGGGTGCATGAGGGGCGGCAGAGAGATTCGCAGCCCCCAAGGGGAAGCAACTGACCAAACACCACCCAACCCGCCGAGAACGCTGATTTTGAATGCCGGCAGACGGGCTGCCCCCGCCCCCAGCTGTCGGGCCATGCCTCTTCCACGGAAGGAGAGACCGACACCCTCTTCCCCTGTCCCAGCTCCCCCCGCAGGGGCAGCCCCGGGACAACCTGAAAAACTGGGGGGTGAAATCGCACTGGGTGCAGGAGCCGCCACAGCAGGTGCTGCTGGGAGCGGCGGGACCGCAGGCTGCTCTGCCTCTGCGGGAGAGGCTGGCAGGCACGACACGGGCTCGGCAGCGTCTTCTGCCGGCTCCGTGATCGGCTGCGGAGGCGGCGAGGCCGGAGAGAATGCATCCCCCGCTGAGCCGGAAGCAGCAGCCGCGTCGTCGTCGCCTAGCAACAGCGGCGCAACGACGGGAAGCGGCGGAAGTGGCTCCGGATCTCCATTGCCCAGCAACAGCGGCGCAGCCGCAGGGAGCGGTGTTTCTGAGCGCTCAGGTGCAGGCGGGGAAGCCGTTGGAGCCACGGGCAGGACTGCCTAGGGAGGCGGCTGTGGGGCAGGTCCGGGCGGTGCTCACGGCGCCAGCCGGCGTGGCGTCGCCCACTCTTCACTCCCCGGAGAGAGAGAAGGGGGGGGGAGAAAGACCGCTCAATCTGAGCATGCTCCGCAGACACAGTAAAAAATACTTCGGCTCCCAGCGAAACTTCGCCCCGTCGCCGGGATGCAGGGGGGCTGGGAAGCAGCAGATCGTCCCCCCACAAAGGGTCTTCTCCTGCTGGAGACGGGTGAAATGGGGCGAGCCCGTTGCAGTTAGCAATCTAGGGAAAAACAGCTGCTCTCTGTTTCAAAACTGGAAAGAGCATTCTAAATGCTGGATAAATCTGGAGGTATCCAAACCCACGGTCCAAAACAAATTGGAAAATGGAGTCCATGCACTCCCATACGAACACATTGAGTGCATACAGCACATCCGTGAAAAACCCAAAGAGCTTTGCCCATCAAAAAAACTCATAGAAATCTGTCTCCAACAGGAGAATTCCGTCCTCTTCACCCCATTTTTGCCAGAGGGCAATAAGTTTCTCCTCTGAAGGGGAGAAAGGAACCTCCTCCTCTATGGGGGAAGTCCTCCAAATCAGCAGTCACAAACTATGAAGGGCCGCATTTTCAGGAAGGGAAAAGCCAACAGTGCCTTTTGAAAGAGTCCAGCAGGCTCTGGCCAGCTCCATGGTGTTGGTGCGCTTTCCAAACATCTTCCTGGAGGCTTTTCAGAAGGTTCTCTTTGTAGTCAGCCTTGGCTGTGAACTCTGTCCAAATCAGGATCTTCAGTTCTTCAGCTCCTGGCTAGAATTGATTTCTGTGGTCACTTGTGAAGCAACCATCAATGTCACACATTCGGGGTTTACCCAGTGCAGCAATTGCTCCTCTGGGGGTCTCTCCAAGTCATTTGCTCTTCAGACGAGGGGTCACCAATTGATGGTTTTGTCCTCCTCATTCACTCGGGGTTCACCAATTGTGACAGTGGTCACAAGGGTCTTCAGGGTGAGAGAGAGGCGAGAATGTTGACCTCATGTTCAGAAGGCTTGATTTATTATTTTATGATATATATTACATTATGACTATACTAAAAAGAATAGAAGGAAAAGTTCTCAGAAGGCTAGCTAAGCTAAGAATAGAAACGAATGAATCACAAAGGAGCTCTCTCCGACTCTGTCCCAGAGAGAGCTCGGTCCTTGACTGGCCATTAACTATACACATCCAACATGGGCCACTCACAGGTGCACCTGTTGCATTCCACAGCAGCAGATAACCATTGTTTATATTCTCTTTCTGGGGCCTCAGCTTCCCAGAAGGGAAAATCCTAAAGAAAGGATTTTTATGAAAAGATGTCGGTGACAGTGATGATGGAGCCCCATTTTCCAGAAGAAAATGTTTCTCCCCAAAGCTGTTTATCAACTGGATTCCTAATGCTTACCTCCTCCAGCCTAAGGAACTTTCCATGCTATCCTGGAGAGAGGAACTCATTTATAAGTATCAGCATTGCATGGATGGAGTGTAACCTTAGAAAGGAGGGGCAAAGAAATTTCCTTGCATTGCAGCACCTCCCACTCTATGGCATGTAGCAAGAGGGAGGCAATAATCAGGGATCTGCATTATACAGACACAGAGCATGTAACATTTTGACCAGTCAGATTGGCACTGAACTCATAAAGCTAAACTGGTTTCGGGTTACAGTTAGTTTGGGCACTCCTGCACAGCATGGCAGAGAGAGATGCCTCAGGGGATGCAAACCAAGGTCAGGCGGAGAGGCAAAATAAAACCAACTCTCACACAGGCTCTAAGTGCGGACATCGCTGCTCTGAGACAACTCCACTGGCACAGGGACGTCCAGGGGACTGGCAAGCACTCCAGCTGGGCTGTGCACACTGGGGAAGGCACCTTGGCGCTCTCAGCAGGGCACAGGGGAGGCATGGAGAGCTGTCACACAGAGCAGCAGCCACCCAAGATGTTGGCTGTGGTGGCGAGCTGATGATCACCTATCGTTTGATCACAGCTTGTGGTTTTCTCGAAGAGCTCAAAATATGCTCCACTAATGAGAAGGAAAGAAGAGGGTACTTTCTTACATCTTCTCTACTTAATCATTATAGTTTTAGAGTTTTCTGCAGAGGGCTGAAGGCTATGGAGCCTTGATACCAGTGGTCAGAGCTCCAGAAAGTGGAAAAGCTATGTTAACTCCACAATTCAACCAAAACTGCTTCCAAAATGACAGAGGCATTCTCTCCTCTCCTGTTCTGAATGAGCCAAGGAACCTGACACACTCTCAAAACTTCTCACCTTCTTAGTTCATCCTCCTTTATCACATTATAGCAAGCTCCTAGCCTCTGACAGTCAGAAGGGCTGTGTGAAGGAAGTCCAGCTCTCATGGCATGCTGGCAGTGTCACAGCATCTTCCCTTTACTTCTCTTAGGTTTGGGTTGAATTGCATGGTGTGGCCTCTAAGCCCATGGTGGGGGAGGCAACAGAGCTTGATCATATCAGAAGACCTCAGTCAGGGACAGGGTGGAGGCTGCTCCCAACCGGGGTCTCAGTGAGGTGGGAACCCATCCCCACAGTCCCCTGCCACAGCTCCTTGGACATCAGTGGCTGCAACTGGAACAGCAGCCAGCAGAGGCTCTTCCTCCCAGCTTTACCCTCACAGGTGAAGTGAACAAATCCTACCTTTTCAGGATCCATGTTGAACTTCTTCCGGCCCAGGGACAGAATTTTATCCCTCTCTGACTGCTTGCTGTAAACACAAAAAAGAAGGAAAAGTCAAACTTAGAATAAAGGACCATGTCATTTCACTCACAAGGTGAGATATCACATGGACAGGTGTCTGACTATCCAGGAATAATGAGAAATCTGAGAAGAGAAGGGCCTCATTTCCCTGCCCATTTCCCTGACGTTGTTGAGAACCAAATCCCATCAGTGTTTTTGTTTTTTCAACTTATAAAGAGAAGCTTTGTAAGCAAAGGAATACTCATTCCACTCACCTGATCTGCTCTCCAGGATTACTGTCTGCCACTTGCTTCTCCTCTTCACGTTGGAAACGCTCAATCTCTGCAATCTGCTCAGCAATCTGCTCCTTCAGCTTCTGCAAAAGCAATATCAGGAAGATGAAGGCAATGGAGGGGAACACAGCAGACACAGCCTAAGGAAGCATGAGAGCATGTCTAACTTCTTCCCTCGGTCACAGGAAAAGGACAGGTCAGGTGGTCATGACCAGCCAAGGATGCCTATGAAATGGGCACTGCTCTGGAATGACCCTGCTGGATTCCAGATGAAAACAACTGGAAAGAGAGACAGAAGGATGTTCTCATGCCTACTTCCAATCAAAACTGGAAAAATCAAGCTTAATCAGTGTGGTGAGTGTCAGAGAACTCGCCCCACTGTCAATTCCAGTTCCTCAAAGAATGTCAGATGCAAGAATCCTTCCATTGTGCCCATTCCTTTTGAACTTTTATTTTGCATAGCCTTGCTACACATCTAGGAAAGGAGAAGTGGAACTGGTAACTGTGAGATCAATATGAACCTAAAGTGGCTGTATTGTGAAACACAGAATTTTTAATGTACCTGTCATTTAAATACCATTGAGCAGACAACTCTGTTTAGTGGAGAAAAAAGAGAGAAGGAGTAAAGGTAAAGTAATTACTGCCAGATTTTAAAAAATCAATTGTGGAATTTACTTTCCTTTAGGCCCATGACAGACCATGGCTGCCTTGACTGGATATTCTGTGTTACCATGGAAATGAAAGTGTCTATATCTCCTTGTTTCCATCCTGCAGCTATGTTCTACCTCTACCTCAAAGCCAAAGTGCACCACAGCTCTCTTCTAGGAATCACCCAAATTCTTCCCCACACCAACCAGAACAGGCAAGGGAAAAAAGGATCTGTCATAAAAGAACCTTTCTCATCAAGGAATGAGGATGTGGACGGAGCACATAATCAGATAGAGAAACTGAATTTCTGCAATATTCCATAACTTAAAAGAGCTTCTGAGTTTCAGTTTTGCTCTGGCCACCTTCTGTTGTGCTTCATTGGTCCCCAGAAGCACAACTTCCCCACTTAGAAGAGTGTTCCTTACTAAGTTTTAGGTGTTGCACAAATGTAACAGAACCATGATCTCAGCTCATTACTTTCAAATGATTATCAATTTTGTTATTTTATTCACTTCTGTCTTTTTGCAGCGTTACTGGCAAGCCAAGACCCATCCTCTTTTCTCTTCCCCCCCTCCCCTTGCCCCAGATATGCCCCCAAGTCTTTGTCCTTAAGGGTACTGATAGATACATTGTGAAAAAAAAATCCCCTGGGGAAAATGTCTCTTGTTCTATGGCACTCTTTTCACCCAAACTCACTCTGCTCCACTGGCCATTGTGTATTCCATTGCTGAATGGCGTTGGGTTTGAAAGCATGGGTTTGTGCAGTCTAGCAACCTTTCTCTGTCCATAGTGGGCAAAAAAAAATGTAGCATTCCTGTTCAAGTATCCTGCTCTTATAGTGCCCATTGCCTGTTGTGAAAACTGAAGAGAAACAAACACACACAAGCAAATCCCAGGCACGTACATTCACATTCTGTTCTGCAGAGGGGGCATGAGAGACCATTCTGGTTTGCAGCAGAGAGAGGAGGTCTGGAAGCCTAAGAAGTAGCACATAGTTTGGCTTAATCCTTTACTCCATTCCAGGAAATATTGCAGCTATTCCCTAGGCATCTGGACAACTTCATGTTGTGGAAAAAAAATCAGTCCAAGTCCAATGATTCAGTGCTATAAGCTCTCTCAAATGGGAAACCACATTTCATGGTGGAGGCAGAACGGAATGGAAAGGGCACAGCACCATGCGGGGCTGTGATGCAGTCTTAGTGACTGATTTTGAGTCTGCTACTTCCAGACATTTTAGGAGCTGCTGGAGAAATGGTTGAGTCTGTTAAAAAAAAAGAAGGAAAACAAGTCCCAGCCACAGACACTTGTGTGGAAGGTCCTGCCATGAGACCTCTTTTGAGACAGGATCCTTCATGGAGGACTTGCTAGAGGTCCACAAAGCAAACAAAAGTCTGATGAGCACAGGGGGATGCTGCAGGTAACTAGGACTGATATGCCTCTAGCCGGTAATCAGTAATTAAAAAGAATCATAAACGCTGAGCCAGATGCCTGCCAGTATGACTTAGTGAAGACATTTCTTTACTCCTACATTTACAATCCCAGCTCAATATTGCTCAAACATCCCACTGGGGCAGCTGATGATTCATGCAGCAGAGAGTACCACAGGCTGGATGTACCCTGGTGGCAAACAGGCCAGGGCAGCCTGAAGTTTAAAAGTGAAGCTGGATCATGACTGAGAAAATGTCTCTTTTGCAAGAGCACTTCTGCATGGCCTGGACTGCTATGCAAAGATGCTCCTTGGTGAAGATAGATTGCAGAAGGTTAGGCAGGCACAAGGGACAGGATGGTCCTTACCTCAATGTCATCCAAAAGCTCCTGCCTGTGCTTCCTGATTGTCTCTATTTCAGCCTCTTCAGCCCCAGTCAAGCCAGTTGATTCTGAAAGAAAAAAGATTCCTGTGAAAACTCTACTGGGGCCAACATATCATGGAAAAAGCTGCCCCAACCTCTCAGCACTTACCTTCTCCTAGGGTCATTCCACAGCAACTCTGATTTCTGTGCTCCCTGCTGTTGCAACCACTGCACCACACCTTTGCCTTGCCAATGGTTCTCAGCCCAGAGTGTGCAGTACAGACCATACCCCTCTCCTTGCAGCCAGAGGCTCTGCACAGCCCTCTCGGCTGACCCTGCAGGCACCCACTGCCTATTCAGCCAATTCTGCTCGCCCTGAGCACGGTGAAGAGGTCTCACTAAATGCTCTCTGGTGGTGGTTATGTCAGTCATCTTTAGGTGCTGAAAGTCTACGACCTAAAAACTTCATCTACATCCAAACCTCCCAAGAAACCACTGGCTTCATGAGTTGATCTGCCATAGCTAGAGTCAGAAATGGCTTAAGAGAGAAAATCAAGGTTTTTCAAGTAGGATCTAGGGGATGAAAGCCTTGCTGAAAAAGGAATGTCTTTAAGTGGCTGCTGTTCTGTAAATAGTTGTTCCGTGAACAGAAAATGCAGAAATATGAATAGGCTTCCTTGTAATGTACAGGAATTCAAACAAATAGCAGCAAAACCAAGGCAACCACAATATGATTCACAAAAGACCTAAAAAATGGGGTGACAGTATTGCTGCTAAATATAATGCAAGTGAACCACAGCCTCTTCTGCAAGGAGAATGAGAAGGCTGTAGCCCTAGAGGGGAGACAAAGCAGAAGATAAGGCCCCAGGAAAAAAGCAGAGCTTGCAGACGACTAAGAGCACTGGAGATCACTGGTGAACTTGCAGACAGGGTCCTTGCTGCACTAAACACGGCAAGATAAAGCGTCCCCAGGAAACCAGGACAAGTCACTGGATGCCCTGCTCCACTGTTTCATAAAACAAACTCCCCTGGGCCTCCTGTCTTCCCAGAAAAAAGGGAAGTAGCACCAGTTGCACTGGAAATTCTCTTAGTGTGGATCTCACATGCAAAACAACTGCTATAAATGTGAGTGGAAGAAAAAAAGGGAAGGAAGCAGCCACGACAGACAGAAGGAAAAGCGACAAGAGCAATCATCTTAGCATGCTACTTTCCTGTCATGGCCACAACAGCTCAGAAAGACTCGCCTTCCCCAATCCTAATCTCTCCCCTATCCTCCTGGCTGGTTGGGTTTCCATGTGCTAAGTATGTTCCTGTTATTTTTCTCAGCTTCGGCCTCTTTCCTGCCACTCTTCCTGATGGCTTCAAGCATTGCATTCCCTGGGGAGAGGCTGCTGAGTCTGTGGGGGTAAAGCACAGGACAAGGAGCCAGCACGAATCCAGGCTAGGAAGGACCCACATGCCCTCCCAGCCCTGCAAGCAGCCCTTGTGAAGAGCAACAAGAAGCTGTCTGATTGATGAAGCCAGTCAAAAGGGAAGGAAAAAGGCATCCAAAAGCTTGCAACTGCCAAACCTGTAGGTGAGGGGAAAACCAAAGTAGGCAGGACGGTTAGCAAACAAAAAACAAAGAAATGAGAAGAAACCACAAAGAAAACCAACCAAAAGCATGCAGTAGCTCTGGTACTTGTCTGGTGGGTTGCTGACTTCCCTTTAAATGTCAGCCCTGGGCCTCTGAGCAGTGCCCAGGCTCTTCAGCTTAATTTCTGTATCCTGCAGTTGTGGTGTCTGCAGGAGATCAGGCTGGCATCTCCATCTCTCCAGTTGTATCTCTCTCATTCCTGTCAGGGCGTGTAATTGTGGAATCACTGGGGTGACTCCTTGACAAATTACAACAAAGACCTTTTGCTCTGTATTTCTTTCCACAAAAGCACCATAGGAGGACAACCCTGAGGAGCCTTGCTTTCCCCACCCCATCAGCAAACTCTGTGGTGTGGCTGGTTGCTTTGCTTCAGTTGTTCTGTGTCTACTAAAGCATCTCAAAGAGTCATGAGGCTCCCAGGGGATGCCATCTCACCCACACGACCCCCAACAAGGCTGTAATTAACACAGGCCCCCTCCCTCCTGAACATCTGGAAACCCCAACTCCCACCTGCCAAGTTTGTCAGAATGAGAAAAGTGTCGGAAGGACTGTGTGGGGGGAGGGCAGGGGAGAAAAAGGAGGAGTCACAGAGAAAGGGAAGGAATCAAGGTGTAAAAAGGTGGGAAAGGGTGACAGAGTTTGGAAAAAATGGATGGATCAAACTTTTAGGGCAATTTAGACTGAGCTGCAGAGACGATCTTTGTCAGGTTTCCTATACAGCTTAAGTCCTTGGTTGCCTTAGAAAATGGTCCATGCCTTGTTGAAGTCCTCAGTACCACCTCAGCTCTACTTCCCTCTAGGACTAGGTCAGCACACAGGTGAAGCATAGCCCTGGTCAGGGTTCTCTGCACAGGGGGAAATTTCACCCTGGTGAAGAACACACCACAAAAACATGCGCAGGTTTCAGAAGGATGCTCTCAGCCCAACCAACACCAAAGTTTTCCAGTTCAGACACACAAAAAATGGCTAGTATCCTCTCCAGAGAGAACATTAGGTTGTTGTTGGAATTTATTTTCAGAGAGCAAATGTTGAAAGGGAAGTGCATCAGCATCACATTTGTGGGTCTTACACCTGCTCCTGAGGTTGTTTCCCCACTGTCAGGGCAGACCCACATAGAAAGACCTGCCAGTTCTTCACAAACTGACCAGGGTTGCATTTTCAGTGCTGTCACTCAGGACACAAATTTCAATTCCAGTTGTGCGGTTTATGCCTTCAGCCTGCCCAACCAGAGGGCAGGTCAGAGTTGCCCAAACATCTGGGTACTTGTGCGGCGAGCAGAGAGTTCTGTGTTTGCTGGTTTCATTTCCCACTGCAAAGGGCTGTGCTCAACCACCCAGGTGTTCAGTGGCTTTCAGTTCCATGGAAAATTATAGGAATAGGCAGATGTCTTTTGAAGCACAGAGGTAAGTGGGAAATGACCACCCAGGAGGGCTGGAAGGATGAACTGCAGAAGCAGCAGGGGAAGGTTAAGAAGAATGATTGTATCTGTGTCACCGCTGCAGACCCGTGTTATACGCTTGTGGTATGACAGCAAAGGTTCATCAGGCTCATTTGCAAGGCAATGGAGGGCTTAAAGTATCACTGCTAAAGGGTTTGGGCACCTCCACCCACGGCAGCACAAAAGCAGAGCAGCCCAATAGGCAGCTTCTGCTTGAAGGAAGCTCCCTGATAGAAAAAATTCACCTGAAATTTCTTTTCTTTTTTGATATGGCTGCTGTGTAATCTCCAGTACAGACCATCACCTCCACAGAGAGGTGCCAGTCTAGTAGCAGAGAGATGACAAAGCCTTCCATTCCTCAAGTCCCTCCAGCCATGTACATCTCCCTCCTGCAGCACTCCATAGTTCTCCACCAGCTCATGTGAGAAGAAATTCAATATCAATCCCAACAGATTTAATTTTCACATTTCAGCTATAGGGGGAAAGCTGGGAAGAAGAATTTATGTTGTCTACTGGTCCCCTTATCTCACGTGACAACTTACATCCATCTTTCAGGATAGCTTTCCATGACTTTTGACCACACATCCCAGCACAGGACACCACAGCCCCAGTCTGCTCTCCTTTGTGCCACACATCCAGCTCAAGGGCCTGGCACACCTGCTCTGTGGCCTCACTCAGACAGTCCTGAGAGGGTTCTGAAGGAAGCTGGAAGAAGACACACACTGCAGGGAGAGCAGCCTCCCCAAGGCATTGAACAGATGTGCACTTAGCAGGACCATCATGTGTCCAGGTAGGAGTGGCCCCAGAGAAAGGTGTACGTGCACCTCTGACCTTCAGGACAATCGTGCCACAACTGAGCAACTCCAAATGCATTCAGTACTCTAAAGCTCACTGGAAAATGTTTCTGGTGGCAGCCTTGGGTCCCAAGGGAGTTCAGCATCAAACAAACCCACTTTCTGACCCAGCTGTGGAAAGACAGGATGGGATTGAGCAAAACCATCAGTCAGAGCCAGCACATCTCTCCAGGCATTGCCTGTCTCCAGGCTCTGCCTCTACCCAGAACTGAGCAAAGCCCCACAGTGCCTGAATAGGATCTCCTTGTGCTATTGCAGTGTGTATACTGTCTTGAAAGTACACTTGCTTGAATGTGTCACTTTCAAGACATAATTAATGCAGTAACACATAACTTGAGTGAATGACTGTGTCAGACCTTCAGTTAGGAGATCCCCAGTTTCTATTGAAGACACAGCCCAAAATAAATAGCAAAATATCAGTTATCCCTCCTCCTGCCCAGTTTGTCTTGCAGAACCTTTGTCCACAGTTGCTTTCAGATAGTGAGGGCTGGGTGATCAGGAGACCCATTTTCACCAACATTCAGTACCAGTCAGATGCTGACAGGAACTCAGCTCCTACAGGTACCACCAATTTCCCTGGCAAGCAAGGTTGGTATGCAGCTTGAGCATGCCCTTTCCTTGGCTACACACCTCAGAGCTAAAAAGTGCACAACAGTCGTTGAAACTGGGCACTGCTTTTTGCTTTCACTCTCCATATCCTATACACAAAAGCCTGAGGGGGCAGAGTCAGAACGAGAAGAGATATTACAAGGTGATCCTTTTTCTTCCTTTGTTCAGCCTGCTCCCACTCAGCTCTCCCTCTCTGACACACTCAGAGCTTCCTCAGCCAGAAGCTGGAAATGTTCAGTCTGGTGGCATGCCTTTCCTTGCTGAATCCCAACCACTTTATCCACCACCTGCAAAGGTGGTGGAAAGGAAATAAAACCTAAGATCTCTCTCAGTTCCTCAGATGTGGTTCATTTCCCCTCACTCACATCTGCCCACTGAGATTATTTCAGGACCAGGCAGGCCCACCTGTAGATCCCCTGGAGCTTCCAGAACCCCAGTACAGTTGTCTACCTCGAACATGGCCGTAAGCAAGGGAGGCCCCAGCACCAAAATCCTTGCACGGGCGTTACACTGGGATACCTAACTGCACGAGAGGCTCCACCAAGGCAAGCCAGCTCCTGGCATCTGTAGGGAAACACCAAGGAGGAGCTTGCCAGAGTTCAGTGAGAGCAGCCAAAGCCTACAATGGTCACCCCAGGTGTCACATATGCCACTGACACCAAGGAGTCCGTTCCCAGCTCGGCCCAGCACCGCTGGCCCAAGGAATCAGAGCAGGAGCATTCTCAGCACAAGGGCCATTCAAACCTGTGGGGAAATTTCTCCCAATGGGAAAGGAGAGCAAATAAAAAGAAACCCATGCCTAATGCTGAAAACCGATAAGCATTTAACTGTACCACCAGGGATCTTCCAGCATGTCATTCCTGCAGCCACAGCACCCACTCTGGCTGCTGGAATTTCATGGTGTGCTCTTCTCCATCAAACTGAGCACAGAGTCCTCACCCCAAAAAGACACACAATGGTTGAGGCTTACCAGCAGGACAAAGGTCCATCCTGAAGAGCACGATATACTTGCAACACAACTGGTGTTCCTCCTTGTATTTGGTTTGTTCAGATGCTTCACAGAACTGAAACAACTTGGAGGCAGCAAACGCCACCGCAGCAAACTTGGAGGCAGCAGCTTTGGGGGGGCGGGTTTCCCTGTGACTCCTCCTTCCCCTCCTTGTCCCCCCCCCTGTCATATATCACAAGCTTGTGGCAGTGCAGAAAACTCTGTGCATGTTTTAATGAGCCAACAGGGGCTCATTGCCTACTTTTAAATGCAAATGCACAAATGCATTTTCATCCCAGCAGCTTTTTGGGAATCTTTGTTTGAGGAGATAAAAATGAGCGGTGAGAGGCTTTGGCCTGAGATACTCAGAGGAGAGAGAGGGAAAAAGGAAGTTCTTGATTCAGAAAACCCATCTGATTGGGGAAGTGGTTTCATTTTAAAGGGAAGATTCTTCCCATGTTAATTCAGCAGCAGAGTGGGGTGGGGGCAGGGATGGGAATGAAGGCTCCAGAACTGGAGGATGGTTGATGGAGGGCAGGCTGGAGTTGTCAGACTCTTCTGCCTCACTCAATGCTCGGCGTAACTTAAAGTCTTGCTCCTTTCTCCCCCTCAACAAAGTGTTTTTCATGTGAAACCTTGTAAGCAAGGAGAGAGAGAACTAAGAAGAAATGCAGTCCTCTCTCAGGTTTAGCAATATTCCTGATGGTGAGAGAGCTGGAATTAGCAGCCATTCAGGAACAGGAATGCAATATTGAAATTGGAGGACAGAGCTGAACAAACACTCCAGAAAGGAGATACTGTCAATCAAAAATGAAATTGAAAAATCCAAAAAATTTGAAATGGAGTGACTACAACCAATGGTACTGACATGAAATAAGGTGTAGGGAAATAGACTAAACGTGCCAAAATTATGGCACATTTGAAATCCCTAAAATCAGGCAAGAAAGGTAAACAAAGAGACAGAGGAGAAAAAGGGAAAGAAGAGAAACAGAAGAATCGAAATAGAAAACAAAAGAAAAAAACTACCCCAAATAGGATGTGAAAACCAGAAATGGGATGACCTGAAGTGCAGGAATACAGACCAAAGCCTACCCAACTGATCCTCATTTAAATTGCATTATTTCATTCCCTTTCCTAAATGAAATCTTCCTTTCAGGAAAGGGAAGCAAATCTTGAAATTGGAGGTCAGACTTGAACAAACACTCCCAAAAGGAGATATGGTCAATCAAAAATGAAATTGAAAAGACCAGAAAATTCACCCAAATGAAACTGAAAAATCCAGAAAATTTGAAATGGGATGACTAGAACCAATGGTACTAGATGAAATTGGGTGTAGGGATATAGAACAAAACATGCCAAAATTATTCCATATGAAACACTTAACTGAGGAAAGAAAGGTAAACAAAGAGACAGAATTGAAACAGAAAAATTGAAAATTAAAAACAAACAAACAAAACCACAAACCCAAACAAACCTGATAGCATGTGAAAATAAGAAAAGCCAATGGGATAACATAAAGCACAGGAATAAGGACTGAAGCTTGCCCAATTGATCCTCATTGAAATCACAAGATCTCATTCCCTTTCCTGAAATGAAGAATTTCAACTTTGTCCTCCAATTTCAAGATTTGATTCCCTTTTCTGAAAGGAAGAATTTTCTTTCAGGAAAGAGAATCTACAGAGTTGAACAAACACTCCCAAAAAGAGATATTGTCAATCAATAATTAAATTGAAAAATACAGAAAATTTGAAATGGAACGATTAGAACAGATCATACTGAGATAAAATTTGGTGTAGGGAAATAGACCAAAACTTTCCAAAATTATCCCCCGATTTGATCCCTTGCTCTGGGGCCATTCAGCCTCAGAAAGAAAGACACAGATTGCCCTCCCTTCCTCCCCGTGTCTTGTACATGCTCTAAGCTGTGGTTATGCTGAAAGTTCAGTGCTGCTTTTGGATAAACCTCCAGTGAAGAGTGAGAGATATCCCCAGCTTATACATGTCAAGCAGTGGCAGAAATCCAGAATTAATTTACACAGGCAGCTGTAGGTAGGGCCACAACCTTTGATCCTTAGGAAGAGCTGGTGGTGTGCATTTGGGACTCACTTTCTACAGCCAGTTTAAAAATATTTACTAAGAAGCAGTTAGAAACTTGGGAGTGAAAAAAGAGGAAGGGAGTGAGCTACATGAATGCAAAGTCATTTCCAGCTGTTACGCCCATGTCTTCACCCAGATCTTCATTACACAAAATGGCCACACCTAAAAGCAATTAGAGGCTTTGTGACTTGGGTCACAAATTGTCGATATCCTACTCTTGGCAAACTAAATTTCTGTCTTGACATCTGGGCTGCATGAGAGGAGAATTCACTACCCCACAATCTGGCCCAGAGCCCCCAGTTTCTTCACTGGAGCTGGTTCTGGTGTATAACCTCCAGTCCTTCCTTCCATCATCCTTTTCTACAAAAAAGTAGTTTCAGCAGTGCTGCAGCTGGCATCAAGCAGACATGCCAGCCTGAAGCACTCACTAGAAAGATGTGATCTTGTCACAGCATACATCACAGCTGAGATGGCCATGATATACAGAGCAACACCATGCAATTTCAGACTGCTTCAGCCCACACAGTGTAACACCAGCTCACTCCACAAGGCTGCAAGCATCTGCTCCTGTTGTTCTTTAGCCCAACCCTTCATACCCCTCATGTCCCTGCATTGCACCTGTGTGCCCTCTGCTCCCTTTGGTGATGGGTTGGTGCCCCTGGGCACTCCATGGCTCATTGCTGTCAGTGCTGCTCACCTGCTGCTCACAGCTGCATCCATTGGGGATGAGGCTTTCTCGGGGTCTCTAGCTGGTCGGGGTGACCCCCAGATACATTAGAAAGTCTCTTTTTCCCAGTCTGGTGGTCAAAGAAGGAGTCAGAGCTCTTCAGTTCTTGGTGTCAGGGTTGTTTATTGTATCCTATCTATAAAATTATTTCTCCTGGCCTGCTGAGGTCCACTCAGCAAGACAGTCAGAGGCACTTTGCCTGCCCCTGGGGCGGTGTTATCTTTTTATACTAAAAACTATGTATACAATATTTACAATTACTTTCCAATACCTATGACCTATGTTAGACAGTGAGCTTCTACTCTAAACCAATCTAAAAGTCCCAACATCACAGCAGAAGATGGAGGCCAAGAAGAAGAAGAAGAAAGGCTGGCACACCCAGATTCCTCATCTTGTCCCCTGAACCCCCATTTTAAAAACCCCAAAAAATCTATTTTTCACCCCGTGATAAATTCACTATCATTCTACTTAAACTGTCATGGCTTGCAGATCTTCATATAAGGTTGGTAATTTGCTCCATGGGTCATAATCAAAACCACAGGTGTTTTGGGCTCTGTACCAATGTCTCTGAGCGCCCTGGCAGGGGCCTTGGCAGTCCAGAACAGCCAGAGGGATGTCCTGAATTCCGACAAGGCTTGGCCACAGCCCCACTCCCAATCACCACAAGCTGTGTGCCTACATGATCTTGCCTGCCACAAAGGCAGGAGCCATATACAGGCAGCTTGATCAGGGCTCTTACACACGTGTGAGAGCAGGTCAAACCACAAAGACCTGCAAATACCAGAATGGATCCCTCTGTGCACTGCAGAAGTACTTCCAGCCACTCCAGCAGAGTACAAAGCCTGGCCCTGTGTCTCTCCTCCAGACTTCCTTCATCTTTTAGCTCCTTGATGCTTCTTTCTCAAAGCTTTTCCTACTTGTCTGTTGAAATGCCTGAATGCCCTATTTGGAGACCTTGCTCCTACTTCAGTTCAGTGATCACCTCCACTACTTGCATTCCTCTGGGTCTGGTAGCCTTGCTTGTAACATTTGATGGACATTAAATGCTTTCAGTTATTTCAGCCAGAGGAGTCTGAATGGGGAATGCACTGATAAAAAACTGCATGAGTCTATGTCATGTGAAAAGCAAAGCACCTGTGAGATGTTTTCTCATGAGGGTACACAACAGACAAAATCATGTAAATAAACTGACCCTAGAGCATTTCCCATTCTTTCCAAATTCAGGGAAGGCATGCCTCCCTGTCGTGGTCCTAGTCCTCCACTAATTCTCATGGTGGACAAACTGCTTCAGTTCTAGGCTTACCCTGGAGCAATACAACCAGTATTCCTCTTGAAGAAACCTAGAACCATTGAGAAGTCAGTCTACTGGAGCATCCCAGACAGGCAATACAGATCTGTAGTCAACTCAGATGGGTACCAACACTACCCCAGCCAGCAGTGTGTCAGAAAATGCCCTCAAGTTGTCACATGTTCTGTGGGCATGGTACGAGAAGACCATGAATGGACTACAAAACAGAACTTTAATTATTTCAAGTAAAAAAGGTCAGGGGACAACACCCAAAGGAAGACACAAAACACAGTGACAGAGGGAGGGAGGGAGGAAGGGAGGGAGGGATGAAGGGAGGGAGGGAGGGAGGGAGGGAGGAAGGAAGGAAGGAAGGAAGGAAGGAAGGAAGGAAGGAAGGAAGGAAGGAAGGAAGGAAGGAAGGAAGGAAGGAAGGATATAGGATCAAATGTATCCTAGGGAAAATGAGGTTTAAATGCTGTATGGTGTGTCAGAGTTGCCCAGAGGCAGTGGCTCAGAGCATGTGGGGTGTTGTCAGCAAGGCCAGTGTGTGCAAAGGGGGTACCCAGGCTGGTCCACTGCTCTCACCTCATCAAGCGTGGGCAGATTAGGCAGACTGCTGCAGATCAGTACTCCAGGCATTACTCCCTGTGCCTCCTGTGCCAGGGACCAGTTTTTCCCTCCACATGCTCCCTGACTGCACACAAAAACTTAAATTTGAGCTAGAAATATCTGTTGTTCTGGTGGTCATGACGGAAAATATCAAATTAACGATGTGCATGCACTTTGCTGCTCCTTGGTACAGGCTTAAAATAATTGTGTAAATAAAAAGGACATATAAATATTTCCTACTGCTTTCAAGGGCATAAAGGCAGGGGCAAAGTGCCATGTATTTCTCTGTGCTGAGCATATCAGCTGTATTCCCACAAATCTCCACAGAGCAACAATGTACAGG